ACCCCCCCCCCCCCCCCGGATCTCTGATGGCCCAACCATTTCAGAAAGGGAACGGCCAGGCAAGGCCTCCACAAATTCCTCCAGACGTGCCTGGTGTGCCTCCAGGAGAGGCTGGTGGGATGTGCCTCCTGGCACCTTGGGGGCCTCGGCTGGAGCTGCCGGGGGCTGACCCCAGGCCCCTCGGCACACGCTGCTCCCCCCCCAAGGCACTGGGATCCCCCACGGGCCGCCTCCCAGCAACACATGGGCTCGGTCCGGCGTTCCTTGAGGGCTGGGGGGGTGGGCAGGGCCACATGGGGGGGAGAGCACTGGGCCAACTGCCCACCCTCCCGGCACGATCCAGGCCTGGGCCCAGCTGAGCACCCACCGCCCCGTCCAGCCAGAATCAGGCCCCCACTCAAGCAGGGTCCGGCGGTCTCCAGCGGCTGCAGGGTCTTGGCACAAGGCGGGCCAGGCCAACTTCTCCGCGCAGATCGGCGATGCCTGCCGGCGCTGCCTGCCCACGTGGGGCCGCACGTGGGGCAGAGCGGGGCCCACAGCCGCTGGGCTGCCCCACGAGGGGGCCCTCGGCCACGGCCGGCCAAGCCCCCGAGGACGCCTGCAAGGGCTCCCCCCCCCAGTCTCTCACAGAGACTATGCTGAGTCAGCTGCTCAGCCCCTGTGGGGTGAGGGGGCCCACAGGGCCCCTGTGCCCCACCAGGACAGGGCCCCCTGCCCAAATGCCTGCCCTCTATGGTCCCTGGCCATCCGGTCCACCCAGTGCTGAGCGCAGGACTCCCAGCTGATCCATCCCTATCAGGTGCCCCCAAAAAGCCTCGGGGGGGGGGGTCAGCCCACAACCCCCCTGGGAAATCGCTCCCCTTGCCATGCTGCTCCCAGTCAGGAAGTTTTCCCCGGTCCCTAGCCAGAATCTGGCTTCCTGTATCTCAAGCCCCTCATTCCGTGTCCCGCACTCGGGGATGATGGAGAAGCGATCCTGGCCTCCTCAGTCTTGAAGCTGCGTGGAGATGCTCTCCTCCTCTCCTCTCAGTCTTCCCTTCTGTGGGCTAAGCACGCCCTGTCCTTTCCGTCTCTCCTCACAGGGCTCATGTCTAGGCCTGGGTCATCCTGCTTAGGAATGGGGGTCGCAAGGACAGGTTGGGGGGCAAGTGGCTGGAGAGCAGCACTTGTGGAAGGGACCTTGGGGTGCTGGTTGACTGCAGGCTGAACGTGAGCCAGCCGTGGGATGCGGTGGCCAAGAGGGCGAACGCCACCCTTGGTTGCATAGCCAGAAGTGTGGCTTCTAGATCGAGAGAGGTATTACTACCACTCTATATGACTCTGGTGCGCCCACAACTGGAGTATTGTGCTCAGTTTGGGCCCCTCGTTACAGGAAGGATCTAGCCAGGTTGGAGTCAGTGCAGCGAGGGCCACAAGGTTGGTGGCCGGTTTGCAGGGGAAGCCGTATGGGGCGAGACTGGGGGAACTGGGTCTCCTCAGCCTGGAGGAGACTCAGAGGGGGGCTGTTGGCGACATGCAGGTATGTGAGGGGGTGTCACATGGAGGTGGGGAGAGACCCGTTCTCCCCTGCAGAGGAAGGCAGGACGCCTCCAACGGAGCAAAATGCAGGGAACCAGGGTTCAATTCGGGTGCCAGGAAGCAGGTCCTGACAGTCAGGACCCCGAGGATGTGGAATGGGCTTCCACAGGAGGCCGTTGAGGCCCCATCGGTGAGGGGGTTCAAGGACAGGCTGGACATGCACATGGTGGGCACATCGTGAGCACAGCTGGCTGGAGTCAGGGTCAGACTAGATGGCCCCAGAGACCCCTTCTGCCTCGCCCCGTTTCTGTGTTTGGTGCCCTTTCCAGCTTGTCCGCCCCGTCCTTCGAGTGGACACGGGACTGCAGGTGAGGCCCCAGCAGTGCTGAGCAAGGGGGAGCTGGCTCTTCAGCATCTGCCCTTCTGGCAGCCCCACCAGCACCCACGCAAAGCTTTCCACGGGACCCCCCCCCACAGGACCTGCCCTGCCCCTCCTGCAGCCCACTTCTGTGTCCCCTGCTGCCCCAGACGTGGGGACATCTTTTTCCTGTGGGGGCGGCACAGCCAGGAGGTCCAGAGGAGAAGAGAGCGGCTCCCGGACCCCTCCTGCTCAGCTGCGCGGCCCTGGGGTCTTGGGCGCCTGGCTGGCTCTCCCCCCCTCCCGCCCCCTGTGCCCCCAGAGAGAGACTGCGGAGACGGCCATGCAAAGAGGCCAAAAATGTCATGATGAAGTCGCTTCCACAAAATCAGCTTTAAAAAGGCCAGCAACAAAACCCTCCCCTCGTAGGCGCCCCCCTCCCCTCCCCCCTCCCCCCTCCCCCCAGCAGTACCAGCCTGGGGCAGAAGCAGTCGCGCGCAGGGGGGCAGCAGAGGGTGGGGGCGCTGTACCCCCGGGAGACAAGTCTTTGCTCTGTCAGTGCGGGGGCGGGGGGAGACAGCGGGGCAGAGTCTGGGATGGCAGAGCTGGAAGGGCCCCCCCCCCCCCCCGGCCCCCCCTTTAAACCCCCCCCCTGGGGCGCCCCCCCCCCCCCTGCCCCCCCCCCCCCCCCCCCCGGCGGGGGCCCCCTTGCGTGCTGCTCCCACAGTTTCCGGGGGGGGGTGCAAGCAGCCGGGGGGGGTCCTTTGGGCGCCCCAGTGCCCCCTGCAGAGCCCCGCTGCTCCCCAGCCCCCCCACTCGCTCGCTGCCCCCCGGCAGTCCTGGGGCCCTGCGCTCATTTCTGCTCCTTCGTGGGTGCGTAGTACAGCTCCAGGGGCTTGCTCAGCTTCCAGTATTTCTCGTTCACCAGCTCCAGCGTGGCAGATCCGTTTAGTGTCTGCGGAAGGGAGGTGAGGGAGCCGGGTAAGAGAAGTGCTTTTCACCGTGGAGCCCAGCCCTCTCCTCACAAGGCTGGGCTGCCCACCCTGCCGTCCCTCCGGAGCTCAGTCCGGGAGAACACACCCCCCAAGCATGGCTGAGCAAACAGCTAACTCGAGCGAGTGAGCCAAGCTGCGTGCCGCAAGCACAAGCCACCCACACAGAGAAAGGGCTGCCCGGAGCCAGCGCGAGATCCACGCGGAGCCTCCGCACCCACGGCTGCTCCCCAGACGCGCCTCCACAGCCCGACAGACAGCTGCAGCCTCTCCTCCCCACGCGGGCCTGTGTCCCCATTCCCCGCCCCCCCGCGGCTGCTCTGCCTGCCCCTCCTCACCGTGAACGCCCCCCCGGCGGTGGTGATGTAGATGGTGTACTGCTTCTCGCTCACGTCCTCCAGGGCGGGGCCCTCGGGGCCCGGCCCCGGCGCCTCCTCCAGGGCGATGCGCAGAGCCAGGTACTTGGAGAGGTGGTCCACCGTTGCGTTGGCCGTCGTCTTGACGTACCTGCCGCGGGGGAGGAGGGCTCAGACCGGGGAGGGGCCCAGCCCTGGTGGCGCAGGGGCCGGCACGTCGGCCAGGGGCTCGGGAGACCCGGTTCCAGCCCCCACTCTGCTGTGGGGCTTGTCGGGGGACGTGGGGCCAGCTGCGGACCCTCGGCCGCGCCCACCTCGCAGGGCTGTCGGGGGGATAAAGGCTCAAGGAAGCCACCTCCAGCCCCCCCCCCAGAGGAAAAAGCGGGACTTCGGGGGACCGGCAGCAACAACCCCCGCAGGAACCCAAGGCACGCGCTTCGAAATGCGCAGGCTGCCTCTGACGGCCACCCAGATGGCGGTGGTGCCGCCGCCACGCCGTGCGCAAGAGGATCGCTTCCACAGTCACTCTGCGCACCGTGCGCGGACAGACGCCCTCTGATCTGCCCGGCAGTCCTGCCGATCCGTGGGATTGCGGGCCGCGAGGGGGGAGAAAAGCCCCCCATCTCCCACACGACGCACGCCTTGCCTGCCCCCCGGCTCGCCAAGCCGTCCCCCTGCCGAGCCCTCTCCTCATCGGGGTGCCGCTCCCCCCGGGGTCACTTCTGCCGCCCCGGCGGGCCCGAGGCCAGGGGGCGGCCTCTGTGCAGGCCCACGCAGGGACGGGGGGACGGCGGAGGCGGAGAGCCCCTAAAGCGCGCCCGGCCCTCACCTGGTCTGCGAGTAGGTGCCCTTCTCCACCAGGACCGGGTGGGGGCGGAAGACCAGCTCGATCTCGCAGCTGCTGGGCTCGGCCCCCGGCTCGGGGCTGCCGCGGCCGCCCTCGTGCGAGGTCTCCGGCTCGGGGCACGACTCGTCGGAGGCCCGCGAGCGCTTGCGGCTGGGCCCGGCCTCGGGCTGGCTGGGGGCCGAGGCGTTGCTGAGGTGCGAGCGGCTGTCGCAGTTGTCCTCCGCGCCGCTGAAGGTGGTATTGTCCGACTCCAGGGGGTGCTTGCGTACCCGCTGGCCCCTGGAGGGGGCGAAAGGCCCGTCAGCAGGATGAGCGGCCCCCCCCCAACTCGGGACCCACGGGTCCCCCCAACGCCACCGAGGGACCGCCAGGGAACGTGCCGGCCACCTAGCCAGGGTCTCGCACATGTCCCCCTTCCCCAGCCTGGTACCCGCTGGATGGGCTGGACTGCAGCCCCCATCATCCCCAAGCTGCAGGTCAGGAATGACAGGAGCTGCGCCCCAGCCCGTCCGGGGGCTGCAGGGCTGACGACGGGATTTATGGGATGTCCGTCCTGCACGGGACCCCCAGTCCAGCGAGCACCCATTTTAACACTGCGCTGATTGGGTCAGGGGGAGGGGAGGGGAGGGGAGGGGAGGGGAGGGGTCCTTCTCAAAGCAGCGGGGGTGAGGCTTTTTTTGCATCAGAAGCAAAACATGAAGAACGGCCACGCGAGCTGCCCGTCTCCTCTCGCCGGAGGGGTCGAGGCAGGGGGCTGTTCCGTGTGGCAGACCCTGCGCTGAGAAGGGGCGGCAGGGGCAGGGGCCTCATCCACCCCATGCCCGGGGCTTCTCCCCAATGCAGCAGCAGCAGCCCACCGGCTCCCGTCACCTCGCACAACCCCGCCTGCGTGTGGGACCCCGCAGCACGTGGCCGTTCCGGCTAGCCCGGCGGGAGGAAAGCCCCCCCGGCCCCAAGACTCTCCCCCACGAGGGTGCCGGCCATCCCGGGGATCTTAGTGGCAGCCCTCCAGCAGAAGTCCCAGCCCGGCGTCACTTGCGCCTGCTCTCTGCACACCCGAGAGCGGAACAGAAACCCGAGCCGTGTGCAAAAGGCCTCCACGCGGCTCGGTGCGCCGCTGCGAGACGAGCAACCCGAGAAGGGCCCCTGTTCCCCAGGCGGCCAACCGAGATCACGCGGCCCACGTCCCCGTCCCGCCAGCGGACAGGCGGGGCTTCCCGTGCACGGCTCCAGAGCTGCCGTCTTTCTAAATAAAGCTCTGGCCACCGGCCTCCCAGAATGCCCGTGCCGCCGAGCCGACTCCAAACGAGCAGAGAGACCGGTCTTTCGGTGTGGCCAAGTCCGCCTGCGGTTTCCACTGAGGTCTCTCGGCACCCAGCCCACACGCCAACGGAAACATTTGTGCAGCTCCAGACTCCCCCCACCCCCCGCCAGACCGCACAGCCTCGGCCTTCCCCGGCTCTCCGCTTCTGCAGGGAGTCTAATCCGCCACGGCGGCCTTGGCCCTCCGGGAGCAGGACAGCGCCGTGAATTGGCTCGGTCCCCTCGGCCCAAGGTGCGGCCAGGCGGGGAGGGGACGCCACATTGGGCGGGCGAGCATCCCCCCGTGACGCAGCCGCTCCCTCCACCGGCCCGCAAGCACAACAACACCCAGAGCGGAGAGCAGAGCGGAGCCAAAAGGCCAAGCGACGCGACGGAGCGGCGTGAGGCCACACGGCCAAGCAAGCCCATCTAAAAAGCTCGGCCAGAAACCCGGATCAGAAGACAGCACAGCTCCGCCGGAAGCCGGAGACCCAGCAGAGCGAGGGAGGGAGGGAGGGCCGGAGGGGCCGGGCCTGGAGGGGGGTGTTTTGGCCGGGGGCCCGGGGCCACGGCAGCCTTGTCCCCGGCAGCTACCTGTTCATGGCCTGCATCTTCAGCCCCTCCTCCATGCTGCTGCGGAGCGCCTGCTGGTTGTGGAGGCGGTTCAGCTTGGCCAGCACCCGGTCCTGGTGGGCCTCGTACTCATCCCGGCTCGGGTAGATCTTGGAGATGAGCGCATCGAAGTTGGGGTCCGGCCGCAGGGACCGCTTGGAGACCAGTTTCTTCCGGCACGTGGGGCATTCTTTGTTCCTGCGGAAAAAGGGGGGAAATGGTGGGGGGAAGGGGTCCCTGAAGGAGGCCACAGAGCCATCTCCCCTGCAAGCCCCTCGTCTTTTGCCCAGCTCCGGGCATCGACTCCCGCCCTGCGTTCCCGAGCGAGCCAAACAAGACGGCAAGCGTTGCAGGACGCAGAATAAGGGGCCGACTCGGCCGGACACCGGGGAGCTGCCCGAAGGTGGGAGCAGCAGGCAGCGGGCAGCCCCGGGGCCCTTCTGGCGCCACTCCCTCTGACTCCACCGTGCTTGGCATCCAACCTAGCCGGGCCTGCCCTGTGCGGCCCACTGGGGGAAAGAGCGGGGACTGCCTCTCCCTGCACAATACGGAATCCGGATTCCCTTGTTTCCAGCTCTGGCAGGCACAACGATCGTTTCCCTCCTCACGTGCCCCCAGGGTCCTTGACCTGGTCCCTCTGGCTGCTCCTGGCTGCCCGCCCAAAGGCCGGGGGGCTCGTCCTCTCTCTGGGCGCCCCAGGCCACGTGGAAGCGGGCCACAACCCTGCACACAAGTGCAGCGGCCCGCAAACCAGGCCACTGCTCCCAGGTGCCGGCGCTGCCACTGCCGGCGTGCTTCCTTCACACCCTGTGACTGCGCTTTGCAACTGTCCGCGTGGCTTTTAGCAAATCCGGATGCGCAACCACTCAGCCACAGCCACCCTGGCTGCTGAAGGAAACTGCCAATGGCTCCAGCCACAGCCAAACAGGGACCGGGACGGGGCCCTCCCGACTTCGTCCCAAAGGCTTGCGTGGAGTATTCCCGTGAGGCGTCTTTCATCGGGGACGTGACGCACACTGGAGCAACGCATCCCACCGTCAGCTGCAAGCTGACGGGACCTGAACCCCCCGTGGCCGAGCCGCAGGGGGCTTGAGGCGGTGCCAGGCCGCTTGGAGGAAAAGTCACCCCAGCCCACGGCTGCTGTGATGAAGGCAAGGCCCACGCGAGGCCGAGCCAGGAAAGGAACCGGGAATAATACTGCCCACGTCGTACTGCCCTGGCGCAAGCCCTCGGTGCCACCCTGTGCGGAACGGCGTGCCCGGTTTCGGGCGCCGGAGGCAGAAAAGGGTCTCAGAGGGTCGGAAATGAGCTGGCCCGGCTGCACAAGGGAAGGGCCCGCGGCGGAGAAAGGGGACTGAGGCATTGCCCCCTGCTCTTGCAGAGCAGTTTCGTCATCGACCCTTTTCCTAGGAGGGACAAAGGCGGCTCACCCAACGCGCGCTGTTCCTGTGCTTTGGGTGGGCAGGGGGGCAATCCATGGCCACTGGCCCTCGTGACCTTAGGCCGCTCCCGGCCCCAGCGACCATGCCGGGGAGCGTGGCGCTGTGGCCCTCATTCTGCCGGTGGGCTTCCCGGGGAAGCCCCTGCTCGGCCGCTGCGGGGACAGCAGGCCATGCCGGGGGCCCTGGGCCGACACAGCTCAGCTCTTCTTTCCTGGGTGGGACCAGAGGGGGGGCGGCCCCTCTGCACCCCATGCTGCTTAGGGGGGCCGGCACCAGCAGCCCCACCGGGCAGCAGCAGCTGCTCCTGGGCTCGTATTCGGCACAAGAAAGAACAAGATCCATTCTCCATCCGCAAACTGACCTAGAAAATGAGCCACATCCATCCGGACCGACCCAGATTTCTTCAGCTGGGCTTCAGCCCCAGTCAAGAAACGAGTCCAACTCCCAGCCTGATTCCAGAGGCGCTTTTCCCCCTGCGCCGAGTCTGGCCATTTGGAACCCACACGCTCCCTCAGCTCAGCAAGGCTGGCCTTGGCGCCCAGACACGCGGTCACGGAGGGCCAAGGGCTCCCCCAGTCCGGCGTTCCGCTCCCCCAGCTGCCCGCGGGGACCCCCGCCCCCGAATGCCATGCCCCCGAGCAAGAGCAGGCGGCTGGCACGCCCTCCGCCCAACCGAGCAAAGCTTCCCCGGGCTGCCTGCCCGCCCGCCCGCCCGCCGCATCCCACACGTCCTACCCGCTGCGCAGCGCCGTGACGATACAGTCCGAGCAGAAGCGGTGGAGGCACTCCTTGGTGGTCATCGTGTGCTTGAGCATGTCCAGGCAGATGGGGCACATCAGCTCGCTGTGCAGGCTGCGGGGGGAGACGGCGATCTCCGTCCCATCCATGATGGCCTCCTGGAGAAACGGGGGGGGGGGGACGACAGCCAGTCTAGGCGGCCTTCCCCTCAGTTGGGACCCGGTGCTCGAGACGCCTCAACCTGCACACGGGGCCACGCAGGCACGGCCCCGCCACGACCGCGCCTGCAAGGCCGGGAGGGACGGCATCCACCCCGAGTCCGGAGGAAGGACATTGGAAGAACCGGGGAAAGAGTCGCCCCAACTCACTCCCTGAAACGCTCCGGGAAGTATTCGCACATGCCGGAGTCATGCCAGTGGGACGACGCCTTCCTTGCTCCTCCACAGCTGCCCCCCCCCCGGCCAAGGCTCAGTGTCCCCGGGGCCCCCCGGGGCTCCTCCAGCGGGTCGCCCCATGCACGGCCGTCTCAACAGCATGATGGGCCCCGGGCAAAGCCGTGGACGGGGGCCCCTACGACAACTCCACCTCCTGTTCATTTTGGAAGTTTTTGTATTTATAAATTGGCAAGTGCAGATTTTATCTTTCTGATCTGTTGCTGAGCCTCTCAGGTGACTCTGCAGAGACCTCTGCCTCTGGACCCCCCGTCGGTTACCCGGAGGTTCCCCACTCCCGGGTTAGACGGACCAGGGCCGTCTTAACAGCATGCTGGGCCCCGGGCAAAGCCGTGGACGGGGGGCCCTACGACAACCACAGCTGCTGCTAATGTTGGAGGGTCTCCCATTTTCCAAGGGTTCACATACACAGATGAGCACGGGGCCCCCGCGTCCAGACGGCCCAGGCCCCGTGTGGCCCGCGGGCCCGGCGCCGGCTGCCGCTCACCTGAGGGGTCCGGTGCAGCTCGTAGAGGCTGAGCTCCCAGGTCTTGCTGGCCGTCTGGGCATTGGCCGGCGCAGCCATGGTGCGCTGCAGGTCTGGGCAGGGCGGAGAAAAGGCCCCCTTAGGAAGCGGGTGGGGGCTTTGCCGGGGCGCCCCGTCCCAGCGGCCCCAGAGCCCGGCGCCTTTGGGGCGGGCAGCCCTGCCGAGCGGACGCCCGCCCGGCAGCCTCGGGGCCGGAGGGTCCGTCCACCGGCGCCCTGCATCCCGGGGGCCCACGCAGGCGGGCAGCGGCGCCCCGAAAGTAGACGCGCCGGACGGGGAAGTGGGGGCGTGCGCCGCCCACGCAGGGGGCCCGGATCGGGGGTCCCGCCGGGGCCTCAGCCTTCACCCCAAGCGGGGCCTGACCGGAGCGGGGGCCCCGCCGACCGCAGCCCCCCGCGGGTCCTGCGGCTGGAGGTGCGCAGCCCGCGCTGGCCGCGCCGCGGGGCCAAGCGGGAAGGCGCTCTGTGCATGCGCAGAGGGCCCGCGCCCCGCGCCCGTCCCGCGGGGGCTCCCGCTCCGCCACGGGGCACGTGCCCGGAGGCGCCCCGCCCGCGCCGCCGAGAGGCTCGGGAGCAG